TTTGACTGCACCCTATTTTGTTGTTAAGCTTTGTATGACTTCCTTACTGGTTTTTACTGTATTATTTCATCTTCCTTCATTTGGCTTCTGTTGGCATGGTGTGGTGATGTGATTCACCTTGGTGTTCTATCACGCTGCTGTTGAAATTATTTTTGTGCCTATCTTTGAGGAGTAAAAGCACCACACCCACACAGTTAATATCCGGAATGTGTAAAGAGACCTTGTATAATGTCTGGGATGGTATTTATATCTGGAGCAGGAGACAGAGGCAGCAGATCACTGCAGTCTGAAGGTGTTCTCTGCCTCTTCACAGCTCACTGCACGTTCACACCATTAATGTCATTGCATGTGATATTTTCTCTCCCCCTCCTACTGCATGTTCCCTTTGCTCTCTCTTTTTCACCATATTTGCATGTATCTATGTTTCCACTGCAGATTGATTGCAGGGATATGCTGCACATGCCGTAAATAGAAATATCAACTTTAAAACAATTGAACACAGCCATATGCTGATGTTGAAGTTTGGAGATGTGTACATAATCATTCCTGCCAACACCTTGGTAAATATGCTATTGGTAGATGTGGTGTTATTTTAATATATTCATAGAGAACCTATAGTACAGTAAATGTTTCCCTTACATTGTACAGCCAAATCTACAGGATCAGTTATATCCTTTGTAATACATTCAACACAGCTTTTTCTGGACAAAAGAGTCAAAAATCAACCCAATCCCCAGAAAGAAATGTTGGCATTATATGTTTCTGCAAACCATAGATATGTTACATTTTTAGGTTATTATGTAGCAGATTCATTGAAGCTTTGGAAGCGTTAAAATAATGCAGGAAGCACAGCAATGACTCACTAAAAAACATCCAGATTTTTTATTTGTTGGTCTCAAACAGTGGTCTGCAGCTTGGTGCCCATCTCGCCTGTAGCTGTGACACCATCCACCATCCCCTCTACCTCCTCATGACAAAGTTAGCTCATATACTACGTCACTTTAGTAATGTTAATATGATTCATATGAAAAGTGCAAATGTAATGTATTCATGTTTTACCGAAACGTACAATGCCAAGAATGTTTTGAGCAACTGTGCTACAAAAGTGACCCTGTTCTTTTACAGAAGCTGCATTGGCATTAATTTGTTTTCTTGCCACCTTGCCAACACTGACACATTATTACCTTATAAATTTGTCATGGTGAATGTGTTAGCAGACAGGTTATACCCTATTTTCACAATCAGCAAACACAAAGCAACATCGGCATTCATGTGAGAGTCATGTTTGTGACCACTTAATGATTTTAAGTTTTATATTCCTTCCAGTTTTCATCAGCTAGGCTCCTACTTTATCTGTCTACTGTTTGATTCTGGGCAGGTAGTGTACAGTGGGTTTATTAGAGATTTTTCTTTGCTGAAAACAGTCGCCTGCTGCTGGAAATAGATTTAACAGGAATACTGGAGTCATGTGATAATGCTCTATGTGATGTGGAAGGTGTCATTAGACCCACTGTTAATTTGAAAATGGGATGGTTCCCCCCAACATCAAAAATACATATTTTTCCTCTTACATATAGTTCTGTTTTATTAATTTAGATTGCTTTGGTGTGAGTTGCAGAGTGTTGGAGATATTTGATGTAGAGATGTCTGCCTTCTCTCCAATATAATGGGACTAGATGACACTCAAGTTGTGGTGCTCAAAGAGCCAAAAATAAAAAAAAAATAGAAATGAAAAGCTCAACAGTAATGTCTCTTTCCAAAAATCACACCCCGGTTATTCAAGATAATCTACAGACCTTGTTGTGAGCAGTTTCATGGAGGAACTATTTTCTTTCTACCAAACTACAGCCACTAACAGTATCACAATGCAGAAGAAAGTGTGCATGTACATGAAGCACCACTGAGCTAGCTAACGTTACAGCTCAGTCAGAAGGAACGCCCACACTGTTTATATCTCATGCTGTCATGAGCACAAGCCTCTTGTCCATGAGTAGATGCACGCTTCCTTCAGCGCAGTGATATGGTTGGCGGATGTACTTTGGTAGAAAGAAAATAGCTCCTCCATGAAACTATTCACAACAAGGTCTGAGGATTACTTTGAGTAAGTGGGTCATGATTTCTGGAGAGAGACATTGCTGTTGAGTTTTTCAAATGTATTTTTTGGCACTTTGAGCACCACGAGCCGAGTGCCATCTACTTCCATTATATTGGAGAGAAGGCAGACATATCTACAGCCGATATGTTCAACACACAAAAAGGGTCAGGTAGCATTCCAACCAAAAAATAAAGGCAGAGAATGCAGATGGGATTAAAGAAAGTGAGAATATGTGGGAGGTTTTTCTATGTTGTCATCGGCCTACAGTAGCTGTATCATTGTGCTCAAGTTCAGGACAGCACAAAAAAATACTAAGTATACAGCTCAGTTTCTTTTGACATACCTCATGACCTTAGTGGTGTTGGTGAGTTCAGGCATGGAAACAGGTTACATAATATTTGTTTTCACAGCGATTCACACTGCAAAGTTATGTCTTTCATCTGTTTGGTAATTATGATGATTCCTTGTGAATGAATCATTTGTTGTTTTATTCTTTTGCTGATGGCTGGATAATGTGCCTTGTATTGTTTTATGTGTTTTATGTGTAATCATATCCCTTTTTTTGCATCCCATTCCAATATGAGCAGTTACAGGGATGGATGTCATGGATTTTTCTTTTCAGGCAGATAATAGTAATGTTTTTTAACCTCAAAAATTCACAGACTACCGGACAGTTAAAGATCCGGTTGTCCAACAGTTTGAAGTTTTATGTGATTTATTCCTTTGGTATCGCTGCAAAAAGTCAGCATGACAACGACAGGTGATATTTTTTTGACACCCACCCCTGGCCTGTTACTGTAGAGAAGCTGAAGGTCAAGTGGAGACTTTGGAATTAAAGCCTGACTCCCACTGTCTGTGTGCTGCAGGGAGAAGTGGTGTCATATGACCCAGGAGGAGAGGGACGACACCTCCAAAATCGATGAAAACATCGCCTTCGGCCAACTCGGGTGAGGAAGCTGTCACTGTGTTGTGTGTGAACCGAGAGAATAGATTAACGCACATAGAGGCTTTGGTTTGGAGCTCAGAGGAGATTTACCAGGCTGCTTAAGGATGCCTCCTAGTGGTAAAACAAGTTACTGCTCCAGATAATGGGATGAATACGTGGCATATACTTTTAATTGATGAATAAAGTATTACAACATTTTGGGAACAAGGTGGTTGTTAAAAGAACTTTATGTCTGTGTGTGCCAGTGACCGATAACATCAGCTTTAATAAAACTATTATATATGTCTTTATATAGTTATCATGAACTAATAGATAGACCATGAACCTGAATATTAACAATAAAGTCAATAAGTAAGACCTGTTAAATACTGGATACTCTAACTATAGCACAGAGTTTAATTTATTATTGGAGCACACACTTTGTTTCTTTCAAAGGTTTTTTGTTGTTGTTGTTGTTCATGTTGTAAATTATAAATACAGAACATTTAGTGTCCAATAATTTCAGTTTGTACTGAGATGAGTTTGGTATTGTTTTCAGGACATTTACTCATAACATGCTGGCGTTTGGGCTCAGCAAGAAGCTCTGCAATGACTTCCTGAAGAAGCAGGCTGTCATCGGGAACCTGAATGAAGGTAAAGCATTAAAGGAAAAATTTAACTTGAAAACACTTGACCAGTCTCTGCTCCTATTTGCTTATTTGGTATTGTTAGATGTAAAGCTGTTACATGTCTAACTGACTTATGGAGACTATTATCGACATTGGGCCAGTATTGAGCACGAGGGCTGCAGTCAGTTTAAGTCCATTAAAATTGCTTATTGTTGTCACTGACAGGCTCTGATTATTACTTTGACTGTCTGACAGTGTTACGAATAAGACCCTACAGACTTGTTTAGTCTTGCGTGCTAACATCATATGGTTAATTCATAGCACAATTCAATCAGGAGCAAAAAATTATTTGTCTTTCCCCATTGATTACTGTGCATATTTTTCTCTGAAAAAAGGTACCATAGTGGTCTACTGGAAGATACTGGTGATGGAGTTTGCTTCTCTATTCCTGGTAGATAACTTTGTAACAGGATTCACATATTTCTATTGTTTACCTCACAGTTTTGATGAAGGTTAGAATAGTCGCCTCTTAAATAACTTTTAAGAGTGACAAAAACCTGTCTGTATTACAAACTGTTGTGCAGTGTTTTGATGTCTGATAAGCCTTGACAGTCAGGGTAAAATGAAAAATAAATATGTGTAATGAGTTTGTCATGCCACAGAAAAAGGTGTTATTAACCACCCAGCCAAATTTGAATGATTAAAAAATTAGCAAGTAGGTTTCAAAGAACAGCAAGGGAAAGAGTCTCTCAGCTAACTCAGTTGCACAAAGCACACACAAACCCTGAGCCAAAGAATGGGCCACCATGCAAGTACAGGTACTTGTTAGCAGCTAACCAAGTAGCACAAAGCACACACACACACCCAGCAAAAGAATGAGCAGCTGTGTAGCTACAGATTCTCATTAGCAGCTAACCCAGCAGCACAAAGCACAGACACACCCCGAGCCGAAGAACAAGCCGCCATACAGGGACAGACTCTTGTTAACAGCTAACAGTAGCTAATGTTAACACAAAGCACACACTGAAAGGTCTTTCAGCCAAAGACACCAATGCTATGCACCCTGAAGTTAGTTGTAACGCAGGTTTTATATAGTTGAGGAAGGGATTGTTAAGGATGGCTTCAGTGCATCATTGAGCATGCTTTAAAGGGGCAAGAAGTGAAATCGTTTCACCGCTAGGTTTGCTGTTGTGCACTGCCTGTAGACCAAAACAAAGTGTGTCATGAGCCACTCCTCTCTCTACCTCTGCTCTCCACCCCCCACTCCCCACTCGCCTAGTCTAGCAGTTAGCGATGTCTCAGTCTCGCGGGCTGCCCACTAGGCTAAAACATTGTTTCAGGTTAAAGTGGGAAGAAGTAGCAGGTTTATCGGGCAGCTGAGTGAAGCTGGGTGAAGTGGAGGCTGTGGAGGAAACACCGGGATGGGTTAATGTCTGGAGCTTGAGTAGCCTACCAGGCTGCCCGCCAGGCTCGCAGGCTGCCTGCTAGGCTAAAACATCGCTCTCATTCACGGGGAAGAGTAGGAACGTTAGCGTTAGCTCCCGGTGTTAGCACTAGCCGAGTCGGCTGCCACCGGCTACTGGAGTAACTTACAGCTATGGAGCACTTCTATCAGTCACTGAGCCTCGCCTCCATCTCAGCAAATATATCCCCTCGCGGGGAGGCTACATTTTACAATGCTAATTGAAAATGTTAGCTGGGCTGCCGGGCTAACTTACTCACTTAACACAACCGTAACGCCTGACCCATTGCTGGGACCGAGCCGCTAATAACACAAGCTCCAGACATTAACTCATCCCAGTGTTTCCTCCGCAGCCTCCACTTCACCCAGCTTCACTCAGCTGCCCGATAAACCCGCTGCTTCTTCCCACATTAACCTAAATAACAAACCAGGGCTCGGTGCTCCAGTTGGATCCAAACAGAGAGCTGGGGCTAGTTAGGAAGCTAGCGGAGGCTAACTGGCTGTGCTTCCCTCCGGTCATGCTGCAGCTAACGCCTCGCCAGCCGCTCCCAGCTAGCTCCGGATTGTTATTGAGGTTAAAGAGGGAGAGGCAGCGGATCTGTGGGGCAGCTGAGTGAAGTGGAGCCTGAGGAGGAAGCACCGGTTAGCCCCGGTTTCGTTCCGCTCTCTGCCATTTCATTTAGAAAATATGCGCTGCCATTGCTCACTGGCTGTAGCCTTTTATAGGGAGGGAGGGCCAAGGGCTCCGAGAGGGGGGTGGGGGGGGATTCACATGAACGTTCATGAACGCGCAGCCGGACCGGCTTGTAAACAATGGGCTGGAGATCAACACAGGGAGAGGGTGTGTGAGGTCATGCTATACTCCAGATGGAATTACACCTCTAGTTCTTCACATAGCAATTTTTTAATTCCTTCAATCTAGAAATTATGAATTTCGCTTATTGCTCCTTTAAGGCCTGCCCAAAAAGTCCTTGACGCAGTCTAACTCCACAGTGCAGTAAAATACAGTTCACAGTCTTTTCAAGTTTATAACAACTATATGTAACAAGTATAATGTGTCTTCTCTCACTCAGATTGGACTTCCCAGATTGTTTTTCATTGTGTCACCAGTACTATAAACAACAACCCCTCACCAATGCGTTGTTATGACGCAGGTCTTATTTCGGTATGATTATCTGAACTCTTGCTCAGTAACGCTCCCAAAAAGTGTGCCCAGGATGCTTCAGCTGTCTTAGGCCCAAACACACCAAACAGACTTCAAGGCCCCCTGCACTGTTGCACGTATGTTCTGCACTTGCATGACATACCACTCCATAACAGGAGGCGGCGGTCGTCTGTAATCATCTTTCAAAAAGGGAAATCGGAAGACCATCTTGATGCTAGTTAGCCAGTTAGCACATTAAAAACACAATCAAGTGTTGAAAGATCAAAGCATATCTACTGTGTGCCAGTGAACAATAACACAAACCATCAGGAAACGTTTCTGCTCAAACAGCTCAATGACTTTATCCTCTCGTGCACTGAGCTGAACTACCAGAGTGATTTCATTCACCAAAGGGCTCCACAGTGCTGACGCCAAAACTAAAGTCGTAAGGGGACAATGAGGGCGGTAGATGCTCACCAAAGGCCGTACTTTGACCGACAGCCAACCATTGGCTGGGTGTGTTTGGGCCTTAAAGGGAAATTTCTGTTTATTTCAACCCGTCTCCTATCGTCCTAAATTTGTTTCAAGTCACTAATGACATAGAAATAATAGTTAGCATGTTAGCCATTAGCCTAGATACAGCCGTAGCGTCAGACCTAGCGTCAAACAAGCTTTTTCTCCACAAAGACCACCTCATATCGTTAGGATAAATGTCAGAGAACATATAGAAAACGACATGTAAACGTGTTGTCTTAGCTTACCGGTGTGGTGCCATGTTTGTTGTTTACCATTTAGCTAAGGCTGCAACCAGTCCCATTCCTTGCAACAGAGGTATTCCTCTTCTGTGGGCATTGGGGTACAGCATTCACAAGTAACGTTACACCACCAAAATCCAGAGCTAAAACCTTCCAGCAGCCATTCCTCCTCTGTCGTCCTATAACGTTACCTGTTGTGCCTCTCTCTCTCTCCACCTACATTCTTCAATTTCAAGAAGCTCTTCGTCAGTGTATTCTGGCTCAAATAAATAAGGGCGGCCATAGCCTCTCGATGTGGAAAGCCTATATACTAACATTCCACATTTAGATGGTCTTCAGAGTTGTTATCTTACCTTACGGTGTGTTTACCGTTTACCTCTGCTTCCCAAAGTGCGGCCGAAATATCGCAAGAACAATCAGCGATCTCATACCGTGCCTGAAATCTCGTGAGAACAAGCCGCAGCAGCTGCAAGTCAGAACCGGACAGTAGCCTGAAAAGTTCATTCATTTATTTTATGAAAGATTTATAGAATAATGGCTGACTTTTTGCCAGACTTAAACTTTGTAGAGGAAGAATTTGATTTAGCAGAGTTTAATGGAAGCCCTTATTTATTTGAGCCAGAATACACTGACGAAGAGCTTCGTGAAATTGAAGAACGGAGGAGGAGAGAGAGAGAGAGGCATAACAGGTAGAGGACGACAGAGGAGGAATGGCTGCTGGAAGGATTTAGCTCTGGAGACTTGTGGTGTAATGTTACCTGTGAATGCTGTACCCCAATGCCCACAAAAGAGGAATATCTCTGTTGCAAGGAATGGGACCGGTTGCAGCCTTAGCTAAATGGTAAACAACAAACATGGCACCACACCGGTAAGCTAAGACAACACGTTTACATGTCATTTTCTATATGTTGTCTGACATTTATCCTAACGATATGAGGCGGTCTTTGTGGAGAAAAAGCTTGTTTAGTGGACTAACTCTGCACTTGAAAGGATGCCCGTTCAATTAAGTTTTAACAGGTCTGACGCTGCGGCTGTATCTGGGCTAACGGCTAACATGCTAACTATTATTTCTATGTCACTAGTGACTTGAAACAAATTTAGGACGATAGGAGACGGGTTGAAATAAACCGAAATTTCCCTTTAAGTCTCTTATGTGACCTTTGCCTTGCACATCACAGAGTCGCATACAAAATTGTGTGGGAATACCAGGTGAAAATGGACTCTTAGTCCTGTGACACAAAAATAACCCTAATGTTTTACCCCTTTGCAGAACAGTACAAGTTGCTGACCGACCACATAGAGAAAATGGCGGCAGAGTGAGTTTGAGGACGACAGGCCGCATTTCAAAGTCTCCACACAAGAGACTGACAGCACAGACACACACACACATCAGCAATTTCTTGGCAACTCGGTGTCACAGTGACCAACTCTTCGTTTGACTGTTGTTGCATTTATGTGATGCACTGCTGATAAACAACATAACTTACTATACTGAACTGTGCCATAGTTGTAGCAAATCCTGTATATCCAGCTTGGTAGTGCTCTTCTGCACCCTGTCCTGTATCAGCAATAATACAACATCATTAGCCAATGCATACTTAAATATCTTTAACGCCTCTGTCTGTGACCTGCTGGACTAAAAGCATAAAGTGAAACCATCCAGTATAAACCTAAACAGCCTCAGTATGGTGTCACACACTCTGGATTTATATATTATACACATGATGTGTAAATTATATATCCTCAATGCTGTTTTTCTTCTGTGTTTCCATGGTAACCACATTTATTACATGTTAGCGTATCACATCTAACAGCATCTGATGAAGCGCTGTACTAAGTGTCGCCCTGCTTTGTTATGTTTTACATCAATGTCTACAGCAGTTCAAACCAGACTGGGGTGTAATAGTATATGGCAATAATAAGTCATAGTGTTTCAATGTGCTATTCAGGTGGTATCGGGTCAGTTTTCTATCCCAGTGTCACTTAAGTTAAAGGGACAATTCACCCCAAAATTCAAAATACATATTTTTCCTCATACTTGTAGTATCATTCAAGATTATTTTGGTGTGAGTTCAAAGTGTCAGAGATATTTGCTGTAGAGATGTGCCTTCTCTCCAGTATAATGGAAGTAGATGGCATTCAGCTAGTGGTACTCAAAGCACCAAAAAGTACATATATAAAACTCAACAGCAATTTGTTGTTACTCAAGATAATCCATGAGTAGATGCACAATTCCTTCTGTGCGGTGATACAGTTGGTGGATGTAGTTTGATAGAAAGAGAACAGTTCCTACATTAAACTGCTCACAACTACATCTGTGGATTATCTTGAATAACCAGATTATGATTTCTGGGAAGTGACATTGCTGTTGAGTTTTTCTTTTCTTCTGTGTGTTTTTTTTTTTTTTTGGCTCTTTGAGCACCACAAGCCAAGGGCCATCTAGTCCCATTATATTGGAGAGAAGGCAGACATCTCTACGGCTGATATATTCAACACTCAGCAACTCACACCACAACAATCTCAAGTGATAAATAACACTACAGGTAAAACGAAAAATATTTTGATTTGGGATTAACTGTCACTTTAACTACTAAATACTAATCTGGGCTTTCTGTAACACTGTAGTATCCTATTTGGCAATACAAACAGCAGCTGCAGCTTTGACATATGTAACATGTAACACCTAACCTTATTGCTGCCATTCAAAATTGTAGAAACAATGCCTTCTCTTAAAGAAATGGTTCATCATTTTGAAAGATATGCTTATTTGCTTTATCGCAGAGATAGGCAGGAGGATTTATATCATCCTCATGCCTGTATGTTAACTAGCTACAGTAAGGAGACAGTTAGCTTAACATGAAGCTTGGAAACAGGGGAACTGCTAGACTGGCTCTGTTCAAAAGGTAAAAAAAAATCCACCTACTAGTATCTCTGTGTTAATTAATGAGATTCAGAGGTGCTGGCAGGTGGATATTAGGTGGATATTTCTCTCTGGATAGGCTAATTGTTTTCCCTGGTTTCCAGTCTTTATGCTTAGCTAACTTAGTGGTTTCAATCTTCTCATTGTCTCAACAACAATAAAAAGCAACAAAGTCTTCCTTCTGATTACTTACTCAGAGAAATCATAATACTTATTTCCCTCCCATTTTTGCCCTTTTCCCTCTGCCACAAGATTACAGTCTAGTGGTATTAATTAAATGTTTTTTTTTAATTAGAAACTTGATTATACCCTTAAGACCATTAGAGACTCCTTATCTATCCAAAGTGCCTTTCATTAAAGTTAACATCTTTATCTTCTGATGCTACCCTCAATTGCCATACCAAACACTAATGCAGAGCCTGCAATGATTGCTCTGGTAATCATTCCCTGCTGGGTATATAAAAAAAAATCTAAAAAAAAAAAAAAAAAAAATCTGCATGGAAATAAAAATCATTGTACTGCTATCTGTGTTTTCAGTGATGGACGTAAGTTGTAGTTTATTTTCAGTTGGTTGAGCTGTAATACCTGATGCATAGCTATAAGCATGTGGCCTGGATTAAAGACAGTCCAGCTTATCTATCTGTGTATCTATCTAGCATGTGCAAACAGCATCAAGCTAACATTAAACGAGTGACTGAACTGTGAAGTGACACTTCCTAATTGTATTACTTCATCGTACCACTGAGGGGTAGCATTGTGTCTTCATTCAGAGCACTTCTCAGTGACAGATTCAAGAAATCCTTCCTAGCTTTACTGTCAAGAATATATCAGTATGTGATTTTTAAATAATGAAATATGGTAATGTAAATGTGAAAGCAGGTTGAATTCCATTTCTGATTGATAATCGGTTTTAATCTATTGTGTCGATGAAGTAATTTTGTAAATACTGTACAGATTAATGTGTATGTTGTAAGAATTGATTACGTGCTGCTGTTTGTAATTGTGTGTCTTTAATTTTAATGTATAAATAGTAGATGTAATTGTGCATTGTGACCATTGTGTCCATGAGGAACATAAATGTATAATTGTAGTTCTGACCCTGAAGTGCCCCCATACATCCAACCCTCTGTTTAACGTGCTCATTCAAAGTATTTGCATACAGTGTTGTGCAGTAATCTCCAATGTAAATGTAAATCATTCTTTCACAGCTGAGTGACATGCAGTGTAATCATACAAAGTATACAAATCATATGGAAAGCCTTGCAAACCCCTGTCCTCTGTACACAGTTTATAATGGACTCTTTCTATTCTCTCAGGTGTCCCTTCGCATGTGCTCTAAGTCCATTTCCAAACATTATTAGACTGTGTATGCCATGGCTACACACCCTTCATTCCCTACCATAGTGTTTTTCCTGATGTGACTTTTGACCATGTTACAACACCCTTCTGGTTTGGTTGAAGTGTTGACCTGTATATTGTACTTGTTAGCTCAGCATGAGCCATTTGCACTACATTTAGTCTCAACATCTCTACACTCTTTTCAATATCTTCTGAATAATGTTACATTGATGCCTTTTATATGTGTTCTGCATGGCCAGTGCACGCTCTCTGTCGAGCATATCTGTTGTTAAATGTTGATGGTAGTTTGTCTTTAGTATGGCCTGGACGGAAAGACCAGTCTAGCTATGTTGACATTGTGTCAATTATCAACCAAGTGAAATTTGTCATTAAAGTTGTATTTACATTTAGTTTTTATGGGATAACCCTTCTGATTAAAGGTCCAGTGTGAAGGATTTATAATGAGTCGTTTCTATCTACATACAGACAGGGTCCTCTTCATGAATGTATAAGAGAACTGGATAAAGAGTTGGAGGCGGGTCCCTATTCATTCCTATGAAAGTTGCTCAGTGGTGCATGAAGCCAAAAAAAAGTCTAACTGCTGCATACAAAATTTCCCAAATGATAAGCACTGTTTTGCACTGTGTGGCCCATAAACCAGGCGCACTAGAGACATCTGCTGGCTGGATGGCTACTTCCTGTTCAGTGCTCCATTAACTTGAATGGGGATAGAATAATTCACTTGTGCAGCTCCTCTAGACTTTCCAATAGTGATCAGACGGAATGGATAAAATCCTGATAATGAAATGAGTCATTCTGCAGCGCTCGCACTCAAAAAAATTTTTTTCACTGATTTACGGATGTCTCTTGCCATCTAAATCAATGGGAAAAAAGTCTTTTTGGGCCAGAGAGCATCATGTGACTGTGTAATTACACTGTTTGGCCCCTATGAAAATTGGCTTCAAAGGTGCACTTTCTGGAGGTCTGGTCCTCTTGTACGGAGTTAACCATGTTGTTTGTACAGTAGCCCAGAATGGACAAACCAAACACTAGCTCTAGATAGGGCCATTCATGTTGTGTGTTTTTGCATCGCCACCGTAGTTAAACTACACACTTGGCACACAGGAAAAGTTTCAGTTGGTTGCAATTGGTAATCTCACCACTAGATGCCACTAAATCCTACACGCTAGACCTTTAACCCATGTGGTGAGGAGAATGTGGTTTCCAAATCCATGTGTCCCCAGTAGCCCTAGTAGCTTCTGATAAGGTTTGGGGTTGCATGCTAACATTTTAGTACACACTGCATTGAGTGATAGCTAACCAGCATTATTCAAAGTAAGACTGTGCTGTAAAAAAAGTACTTACAGCTGTGTTATTATAGTAGATGAACAGTCAGTGGATTCATTCCAAACAAAATGAAAGACTAACTCACTGTGGCTAGTGTTACCCATTTTAGCTTTTTATTTTGTATCATTAGAATACCACTGACTCCAATTTCTAACCAGTGTCACCTTCTGTGGGGAAAAAAGAATTAAAGAAACTTGCCACACAAAACTGCCATTGACTGAAAACCATCTGAGACTGTTCATCATTTAGCTTCAGAGCAGCTACAAGTTTTCATTTGTCCACCATTGATACAGTGCTGGTGTTGCTCTCACCTTTTACTGCCACAGTGGGGCCCATAGAAAATTGTGATATTCTGTATGTTAGCTAATCATCCTATTGCCACCATGGCAAAAAAAAGTAATGACATATATAAATCTGCTGTATTGTAAATACAGTGAGTAGACGTGGTAGCTGCTGTGGCTGTATGTTACTGTTTTAGTTTCCACATGTGTGATGAGGTGATATCACCACAAGTGACACTGCTACTGTAAATGTTTCCTGGGTAACAACTGAAGGCAAATGCTGCACTTGGAAATCAAGGGTGAACTGCTAAGTAATACACGCTTAGGCCTGTAACGTTAGCTTGCATGGAGACAGTGATCTACTGGGAACACATGGTTAATATCAATGAGCACATTGTCATTACTACAATGCTGACTGATAAAACTTTCAACAGCTGCTCCTGTGTTTTCTGCTGTACCTCTGAAAATGTGTCGAACACAGATTTTAGCTATTTTATTGTGCTATTGCTTATGTTTGCCTGGACATGTCATAATGTTGATTCAAGTTGCTGATAGTATAATAAATGTATTTTTGATGTCCCTCTATGTGAATTCTTCTTGGAGCCGTGTGACGTGGTTGTGTGTTGAGATTAAGACCAATAATATATTGGTCTGAAACTGCAAGCAACATATATTGTGATTTCTTGCACATTTTCCCCTTAGAATGATACAGTCAGGTCCATAAATATTTGGACATTGACACAATTTTCAGCATTCCAGCTCTGTACAACACCACAATGGATTTGAAATGAAACAATCAAGAAGTGCAGACTCTGAGCTTTAATTTGAGGGTATTTACATCCAAATCAGGTGAACGGTGTAGGAATTACAACACATTTTATATGTGCCTTCCACCTTTTTAAGGGACCAAAAGTAATTGGACAAACTAACATAATCATAAATCAAATTGTCACTTCTTAATACTTTGTTGCAAATCCTTTGCAGTCAATGAAAGCCTGAAGTCTCAAACCCATGGACATCACCAGATGCTGGGTTTAGTCTCTGGTGATGCTCTGCCAGGCCTCTGCTGCAGCTGTCTTCAGTTCCTGCTTGTTCTTTGGGCATTTTCCTTTCAGTTTTGTCTTCAGCAAGTGAAATGCATGTTCAATCGGATTCAGGTCAGGTGATTGACTTGGACATTGCAGAACATTCCACTTCTTTGCCTTTAAAAACTCTTTGGTTGCTTTTACAGTATGCTTCAGGTCAATGTCCATCTGCACTGTGAAGCATCGTCCAATGAGTTTTG